ATATAATGTATCCAGAGTGACTTAGTTCAACAATGACTTAGAAAAGTTTATAGAAAGATACTTTGTTGCAAGTTTGATTTATAATTGGCAGAATGATTCTTGAGAAAATGAATTAAAACTAGAACTGTCCAAACGGGACAAAATACCCCCTGCTGGGTTTTTCAGAAGTAAGTTTTTCCATAAGAAAGATATGGACCAGACACGAATTATGAAATTTTTCTTCCAGTGACCTTGAACGTCCCCAAATGACCTTGGGTCAAGGTCATGACACACCCTTGGGTTATGGGCAATCTTTGTGTGAAATGAGAACCTACCAAGTTTATCCATAAGAAAGATATGGACCGGACACGAATTATGAAATTTTTCTTCCAGTGACCTTGAACTTCCCCAAATGACCTTGGTTCAAGGTCATGACACACCCTTGGGTTATGGGCAATCTTTGTGTGAAATGAGAACCTACCAAGTTTATCCATAAGAAAGATATGGACCGGACACAAATTATGAAATTTTTCTTCCAGTGACCTTGAACTTCCCCAAATGACCTTGGGTCAAGTTTATGACACACCCTTAGGTCATGGGCAATCTTTGTGTGGAGTAGTAGATTCTAATGTCCCTCTGTAAGAAAGATATGGACCGGACACGTTTGCACAGACAGACGGACGGATGGACAGCTAGACAGACAGACAGACAGCTAGACAGACGGACAAGGTGATTCCTATATACCCCCACAAACTTCGTTTGCGGGGGTTATAAAAAGTTTACAGATGACAGACACATTGACACTATAGACACCCTTTGATCAGAAAAAATCACTTAAGCCATTGGTTTAGTTAAACCAAAACCCAAAATATACATTAATTTTAGATCAGGGGTTTAAAAATACGGTGGTCCGAGGTCCGGGACCTAATGTTTATGGGGGCGGACTAGCTAATTCTTACCCTTTGATAGTCCGTCGGACTAGTAGTTTTTAAAAGAAAAAAAATTTCATCCCGTTATTTTTTGGGCCGATTTCGGGCCGAAAATCGGCAAGAGTTCCAATGGAAAATATGCCTGTATTTTCCCATATTGTAGTGGAAGTCATTCTAAAGAAAAACTTACGAAATATGTGATCAAATTTAGTTTGTTTATTGCATGTTTTAAAGTAGAGAGCTGTAGAGTTCAAGCAGGTTTTGTTTTGTTCAGCCATGTTGGATTTTTCTTCATTTATTTAGTTAATTCATACCACTATTGTTATTGATGCAAGTAATTAGATAATTCATACCGAGAATAGTCTTGAATTGTGATAACAATTGTTTGTTTTAAAGTAAGTAAACAAAGACAAAAACAAAGCATTTGACAATGCTGTTTTAATGACTGGGTTTTCTGGGAGATTCTTCAATTAATTTAACCAAATTGAAGCTGAAATTCCCAATTCCTATGACCCAAGCCCCTAGTCCCAAAGTACGTACTAACTAAACCCCCCACTGTAATCAAATTGATTAAAAATTTATTAAAACTAAGCATGTTTTTTTTAAACTTGGGACTAGTAATTTTATGGTACGGACTAGTGAAATTTACTAGCTCAATAGTCCTTGGACCAGTGAATTTTTAGGGAAAATTTAAACCCCTGTAGATCTGTCTTTCAAACTAGCTGTCAAAAAGTGCTGTATAGTACCAGGATGGAGAAGAACTGTAACATATTAAATCATTAACATTTTAGTTGGCTAGAAAAAAATATTAGTAAAAGTAATACCTTGTTGATACACCTGTAATTTTTCTTCTGCAAGTCCATGCTTGTGAAAACAGCATCAAAGCACCACAAATCATGCTGATGTGACAATTCGTGTTATCAAACGTTACAAGCGCTGGAAACTTATTACTGCATAGACAAGAAACTCACAGGCTTTAAATACAGATATCATAACAATAAACACACCTTTGAGCCTGCTGACACCATAAGGTCAGAGACACTAGTTCTCAACCTACAGTATAAGCTAGTACAGACAACAGTTAAAACTCCAGTGATACTGAGTGAATACTGCTCTATGTAATAGTAAGCCATCCACTGTTAGGGGGAATTAACTTTTAACAGTCACTCTTGTATACATGCTTGCTGCCAAATTTGCGTCTTCTTCTCACAGCTTTAATGTAACATTTTTTTTCATAACTGTCATTATATTTAGCTCAAATGTTGAAGTTCTAGTACAACTAAAGGTTTTAGCTTATGACTATGATACATTTATGATTATGAGGAGTTATCGTTAAGTTACTTACTATGATACTGATGCATTGGTTATTATGAGCATAGTTGTATACACTTACAGTCCCTGAAATGTCCTACTTTCCCACCTGAACGGTGAACGAACGCTGAACGAACAGTTAACGAACGCAGAGCGAACGGTGAGTGAACGATGTGCGAACGCTGAACGCAACTTGGTGAACAAAGTGTGAACGGTGAACGCAGAACGCGAACGGAGCGCGAACGCGAGCGCAAAGTGAACGGTGACAAACGGTGAACGCAAGATGAACGATTTATTCGGAATGCCTCCGATCTTTTCCTTGCATTGAAATTATTCTATAATTCTAATTTCAGGTGCTTTAATATAAATACACAGTAGATAAATAAATAAATAAATAAATAAATAAATAATAAAAACATTTTTTTTCTTTACATATATGCACCTATGTTTTAAATTGATAGTTTTATAACACGATTTTAATTGCCGTAAAACATGTGTATTTGTTACCGAACACGTGTTTAAATATAAAATTAATCTATTTATGTATATAGTAAATATGCTTATCTTTTCACAAAAAAATAATGTGGACTTTAGAAGATAAAACTACTATTCATAGAATGAATTAATTACATTGTACGCGGTTGAATCAACCAGACATGTATTTCCATGCCAAGGCAACTCGGAGTAAAATAACGGATTTTTTTAAATTCACAATTGTCTGTTGACGTATTGCATAAAACCTCTCGTTTTTTAAAATTCTAATGCAAAATATTCTTAGTTATGTGTCTTTTGTATTCTTTTATGATGATTATTTTAGCTAACTTCTACATGTATGTGTATACATTTCCAGGCCGTGATTATACTCGGCAGGATGATGGAAATGAAGAGGCATTCAATAATTATTTGTAATAGATTAAATTTTCAAAACTAATTAAGTAGTAATATGCTGTCATAGTTTTTACTGAACAGAGAAATGTACGAGAGAGAGAGAGAGAGAGAGAGAGAGAGAGAGAGAGAGAGAGAGAGAGACCCTCAATTCTCAGATATCTGATGCATTAAATAAAAATTCTTATTATTTCTCCTAAATATTCCAAGCAGTAAAGGTAATCAATTTTTTTAGATTAACAAATCCATTTGACAGTAATCATTGGCTTTTATTTTCTGTCACCAAGTTCACACAGTTTACAGGAAGTCCAGGTGTGTTTGTCCTATCAATCAATGTCATTCGACACAGTGGAGGTATGGAAATCACGTTTCACTGAACATGCCGAAGGCAGTCACTTAATATTTCCAAGAAGTTTTAATATTTTTCCCTATCATTTCAAGATCTGATTTTTGCATTCCTGCAGAAAAAAAAAAAAAATTAATAATGGGAATATATACTTGGAAGGATTAAGTTTTAAATCGAGTTTGAAACATATTCCCTGTCAATTTAAAATACTACTGTCGGCACAAGTGTATTCTAAATTACTATTGTTTAATGACTGTTTGATGTTGGTTTTAAGACTGATTTAATAAGCTCTAAAGATATTTAACTCAGTGAATATTTGCAGTACTGTTCATGATTCTCAGATCTACGTGTAGTTTGAAATACGTGTTACTGTAGTAATAATATGTTTGTGTATTCTTGTCTTGTAAAAGACTTGTAGGATTAATTATTATACATTCATTAATAATCTGTCATCTTTAACATTGCAACAAATCGTTTGCTGTGCACAAAGCATTTGTACACTGCCCTTTTTTTAAATTTAATATTTTAGCATCGGTCTACAAATGTAGGTACTTAATGTATTATTTTCCATGGAAAATTCATGAATAAAGTAACAGCTGAATTATAATAATAGAAATATAAATATTATAGATAATTTTTGCAATGAAATAATTATTCTTCGAACACGATATCTAAGATATTATACCCCCCGCTTGAAAAGTGGGAGGGTATATAGTAATCGGTATTTCCGTCCGTCCGTCCGTCTGTCCGTCCGTCTGTTACGCTTTGGGGTACCCATCTCTTATCCGCAACTCCTCTTATACTACTGAGTGAAATTTAACGAAACTTTCACAGAATCTTTATTACATATTGCCATTGTGCACCTCCTATTTTACTTTTTAATCTGACGTATATTTTTGATTTTCCAGAGCAAAACATGGACACTGCTATGATATTCATATGGGGGGGGGGCGGGGGGTATCATTTAGTGAGCTCATTGCTCACAGTACCTCTAGTTTAATTAATAAACATGTAAATCCTTACCATCAAAAAGATAAGTCCTTTCACTTCGGAGTTCCGAATGACAATGAAGACTGAACGATAAGTGAACGGTTAAAGCAAGGTGAACGCAAAGTAAACGGAACGAAGAGCTAACGGTGAACGGTGAACGCACGGTGAACGGTGAATGCAATACTGTGAACGGAGAGCGAATGGTGAACGCACGCTGAACGAATGGTGAGCGAACGGAAAAATGGGAAAGTGGAACGTTTCAGGGACTGTAATATGACATTTATTTAATGAAGGATTTGTCAAACCATTCTGTTTGCATGCTACATTTCAATCAGTAACATTCACTTTATCTGGAATTGGCATTCTCAAAATGCTGTACAATATTAGAGATAAGGTAATATTACACAAGGTTTCTTTTAGTCAGTAAATCTCACTACATTGTACAACTTCTTCAAAGTTGTGAATCATACAATCCAAAGCAAATTCTTTGTTTCCAATATTTCAAACAATTTCTGGGTATACTGATTAACAAGCCATTCTACTGAGTCTGTGTGGGTTACCTCAATGTTCCCCCTCCAGCGGTCCGCAGCATTTCTGGCCAGCTCCAACTCTTTGTCCTTCAGTCCTCTGTGTCTCTTGTATGCTATCTCAATCACAATTAAAATAATGCCAGCAATGATGCCCCCCGCTACCATCAAAAACACACCTAAAATTGTCAAGGAGGAGAATACAAATAAAGTGCCCCGCCACAGCATGATACGCTCGTCAAATACATTGTTCAATAATCATAAATTGGTTAAGGTGTAAGAATTAATCAGATAACCTTGATTAACAGATTGACACAGATTTCAATGATCTAATTTCCATTTCTTATCATGTTTAAAATATTGTACATACATCTCTTAGAGACTTAAAGTGTAGGGATTAATTATAACAAATAATACATCATATAATTCTAAACCGGCTGTGTTAGAACTGAACAAATATCCATCTGCAACTTTAAATTGTTCATTGCATATTTTATGGAATAATGGAAATGCTACAGTCTAATAAAAAAATCTAAAATAAATTATTCTTTAGACTATAAAATTCTAAGTGAGACATGACTGCAATTTGTTGCAAATATATAATCAAAGGCCTGAAGGGCCACAATGGTGCCGCGCTTTAGATATGGCAGTGATATTGTGAAATAATTATATAGCTTAGTTGTACATGTATATCTAGATAAAATACCCCGATTTCAGCATTTATGAAATAAAAGCATTCAATTCATATGGTCCAACTGAAGAGCTTGAGAACAGGTTTTAATATGTAGTCACTAGTCAGTACCCCAGTAAAAGAGTATTAGGACCATACTTGCCAACACCCAAGATGTAAAAATTTGGTCATTTGTGTACATGTATTGATAATTCTTCTATTTAAAAAAAGGCTTTACTGAATTATTTACTTACAATGATGAAAAATTATTGATTAAATTGACATGTTAAATAAGAACATTGGTTTCATTGTCCAGCATTGACCTGAATTATGGTAAGTCTGCATTTTAAAAAAAAGCCTTTTCGGTTTGTGCTAACAGGGACCTATATCATGTATATACTAATATATATATATTGTTTATATATAGGTCCCTGGTGCTAAATTTGAAAGTAATTCCAATTTTAGAGGATTTGAAATTACTTTTCCTCTCTCATAACAAGAGATGTTTGTAAAACACTTATGCCCCCCTCCCCCTAAATTGAAATTTTTCTAAGTCCAAAAGGGCATAACACTGTCAAAAATGGCGCGATTGTACCCAAAACAAAACTTGACAAAGACATTTAATTGATAAATCTGTGTACCAAATTTCATCTCAGTATGTGCAACCTCTACAAAGAAAATGAACGAAAACTGCAAATAATTGGAATTTTTCTAAGTCTAAGGGACATAACTCTGTCAAAATTGGTGCAATACGTTCTATTTCCACTATTGAAGAGTTATAGTTCTTAGTGCGCTCTTTTGTGAAAAAGTCAGAGAATTACAAATCTCGCGGGATTTCTGGGACAAACGTAACATAAAAATGTAAAGAACACGTTGAATGTCGATGAACAAATCCTAACAAAATACAAGTGAAATATTTTATTGTTGTGGACTTTATTTATATTTAAATCAAGAGTAGAGATGACAAAGATATTAATTTACATCTATTGGTGATCGTATGTATCTATTTATTGTAATGGTACATTTAAAGTAAATACACATACCTCAGAAATGTCGTATTTTTATAAATGGACGATAAAGTTAGGGTTTTCGCTCTTTTACATGTGTCTTTTAATTCTTCTATTCTTTAGTTAGAATGAAAAATGCACTTAACATTTAAAATTGGATTGATAATGGCAATATGTTTTGTATTATCCGCAATGCCATGCTGTCCCAGTCAGACGACCAAACGCACCTCTAATTCTGAAGAGTTCACTAATGGAAATACAACGTATTGTACCCAAAACAGAACTTGACTTAGATATTCATGTAAAATATCAGTAAAATTTCAGTATGTACAACTGTTGCAAAGAAAATGAACGGAAACTGCAAATAATTGAAATTTTTTCCAAGTCTAAGGGGCATAACTCTGTCAATAAAGTGCCCCGCCACAGCATGATACGTCAAATATTGTTCAATAATCATAAATTGGTTGGGGTGCAAGAAAATCAGGTAACCTTGTTTAACAGAGTGACACATGCAGATTTCAATGATCTAATTTCCATTTCTTATCATGTTTAAAATAATTGTACATACATCTCTAAGAGACTTACAGTGTAGGGATTAATTATAACAAATAATACATCATATAATTCTAAACTGGCTGTGTCAGAGCTTAACAAATATCCATCTGCAGCTTTAAATTGTTTATTGCATATTTTATGAAATAATGGAAATGCTACAGTCTAATAAAAAATCAAAAATAAATTATTCTTTAGACTATAAAATTCTAAGTGAGTCATGACTGCTATTTATTGCAAATATATAAAAACTGAAATGTAATTTTTTTTCAATGAACACATATACAATTAGTTTTAATTATATTATAAAATACTAATTTAGTTTTAATCATACACTAAAACATCAATTTGTTTTAATTACATTACACCAATTGAAAGATCTTTATCTGAACTATAGCCATCAAGAACTCTTAATTAACACAAGCAACTATGAGGCCATTTCTTTTTACCCAACTCCCAAGAGATAAATTAAGATAACACAGCTGCATGATCAGATCTAAATATGTTCTTGCTTTACAATAAACTCATTAATTTCTCTCTAATTTGAAATGCAAATTTCTGCTATCAAAATTCTTCTTGACCAGTGCTTGATAATTATGCCCATGGGACAAACTGAATTCCTCTAAAAACATAAACATTTGTTACAGATTGCTGTAAAGTATATGAATATGAAAAAATAAGTTTTTACTTAATTTAACATTTTTAGATAAGGATACAACTATATTTTTACATTTTTTAGGATTATGAAATTTAAAATTTAAAAGACTTTTTTTTTTTTTTTAAATTTACTTAAATTAAAGGTCACAGTGACCTTGAAATAGACTGCGACACACCTTCTACCATAGATGTATATTTTGCCAAGTTTGAAAGCTCTAGGTCTAATAGTTTTCTAGTTATGAGCCGGACAGGATTTTTCCATATTTGGCTGTAGCATCTTAATTAAAGATCAGAGCGACCTACTTTTTGTGCGCGACATACCGTCTACCCAAGAAGTATTAGTTGACAAAGTTTGATAATCCTAGGCCTAATAGTATTCAAGTTATGAGCCATACATTAATGGACAGACGGATGGACGGACATGAAGCCTATAACTGGATAAAATTTTAACCTTTTTTCCAATTAATATACAAAAATTTGGTGCTCTCCGGTGATTATTGAAAAATATACAGCTTTTTTACTTTGATAAAACTTGCTTCACGGAGCATGCTACATGTTGACAAGTTTACATCACAAAGACTCTTTATTAAATTTGTTCCTGCTGGTCTTGATAAAAATTCTTAAAAATTGCACAATTGTAGCGCAAAAAGAATTATGATATTTTACCTGCTGCTAAAGCATGCAGGAAACGTCACTGAGAGAAAATTTGAACTAAATTGGAGGTTATATGACTGTTTTATAGCCGTTTATAAATGATCCACGCGTAAAAACACAGCCAAAATCATTGAGCGTCACGGAGCACTGCACTACGTAAAAAAATATGTGTGCAGACAGGAAGATATCTAAAAGAGATTAAGATGTTCAAGATGCTGCCGAAAATTTCCTACACATACAAAGAACAAGTTTTCGAATGGTTGTATCTTCGTAAGAATGGAAGGAGTAATATTTTGAGTGATTAACTCCATCGATACTTCAATACCCCCTTATCGCATGGACGTTGTGTTGCGCTTATATGGTTTTGCATAGTTTCCATAGCTGTTCGATTAACTGCATAGAATTTTTTAAGATCTCAATATTATCCGAATCAATACAAAAGACATTATAGTAGAAAAGTAACATGTCTTGATAGAGATATTCAATTTTAAAGTAGAAAAAAGATAAGAAAAATCTGAAGAAATAAAAGATTTATAGAACTGCGACAAGGCTTAACGGGTTGAAATCTGGTTGTCACATCGCTTACGTCAAGTGCTTGCTCCGTGAATCCCATGACCCCAAAGTAAAAATACTTGTAAAATTTCAAGATTTTATTACATGGACCTGATTTTTTACATACCAATAAACAGAATGTAGGAATTTATTCAGACATAGGTCATGCTTTACAGTACACAATAGATTTTCCGTAACTCAATGTGTCCGCGAACTTTTCTAACAACCCTCGTATGAGGCCACTTCTTTTTGCCCAACTTCCAAGAGATTAAAGATAAAGATAACAGCTGCATTATCAGAGATCTGCTCTACCAGTTAGCTCCTGACAATAAACTCATTAATTTCTCTCTAATTTGACATGCAAATTTCTGCTATCAAAATTCTTCTTGACCAGTGCTTGATAATTATGCCCATGGGACAAACTGAATTCCTCTCAAAACATTAACATTTGTTACAGATTGCTGTAAAGTATATGATGAAAAAATAAGTTTTTACTTGATTTAACATTTTTAGATAAGGATACAACTATATTTTTACATTTTTAAGGATTATGAAATTTAAAATTTTAAAGACTTAGTTTTTAAAAAAAAATCACTTAAATTAAAGGTCACAGTGACCTTGAAATAGGCAGCAACACACCTTCTACCTAAGATGTATAATTTTGCCAAGTTTGAAAGCTCTAGGTATAATAGTTTTCTAGTTACGAGCCGGACAGGATTTTTCCATATTTGGCCATAGCATCTTTATTAAAGGTCAGAGCGACCTACTTTTTGTGCGCGACACACCGTCTACCCAAGAAGTATCAACTGTCAAAGTTTGATAATCCTAGGTCTAATAGTATTCAAGTTATGAGCCGGACACGAATGGACAGACGGACGGACGGACATGAAGCCTATAACATAATACGTCCCGTCTTAAGACGGGCGTATAAAAATATTCCAATTAAATGACATAAATGTATTTAAGAATGAGGAATAATTCTAAAATTGAGCTAGCATACATCTTCACTAGCGTGAGTATGCTATAAATTACTGTATGATTGTGAGGATCACGTACTGGCCATGTTAGTCAGCCCCAGCGTGGCGGGGGTCGTGTCTTTCTCAGGACAATCGTTCCTTCCCTCTAGAATCCATTTATTGTCAAGATCCTCCATATTTCCCTCTACAATAAGGTCACTCTGCATGAGTTTCAACCAAAATAAAATAACAAAATTGTTTGGAAATCTTGTGTTCAAGGCCCGGATAATATTCTTATACATTAAAAGTAGGTTCTTTGACATTTACTGATAAAGTCATGATAATGGTTCAGTCAAACAGAATGCAGCTCTTTATTTCATATGTAAAAACATTCGCACATTCAGTATATTACACTTTAAATCTATATCAAGCAATAACTAATTTTAAATCATTTGACCAAAAAGTTTCATAATTAAGAGAAGTTTAAACTCTTCAAAAGTCAACTAATAAAAATGAATAGCCATTGATCATGATGATTAGCAATAGGTAGCTGCAATAATGTAGCCTCTCCTGATTTTTTTCTATAGGAAAAAATGAATACAATCAGAGAGAGGGCTACATGAACACTAATGCAGTTAAACAATATGATCAGCTATTAGTTAAGTTGATAAATGCTCATCTATTAGCATGTTTCCCAGCATTTTGCTAAAATGCAAGAAACAAAAAAAGACTTGCTCAAATGTGCAATGTTTCAAGCATTTGTATATAACTTCTTTGAACTTAGTACAGACAATGACAATTCCCAACGTTCTTGGATTACCATTTATAAAATGTATTAAGGCAACATACTCTCGTGTAGCTTGAGAATAGCCATTGAGATTTTGGAGGTCCATGGACTCTTTTTCTGCAGCCCCACACCCAGTCCTGACCGCCCAAACAAGTCCCCCACCGTGATGAGGTCACAGTTCTGTCCTGCTTCATATTCCAGGCGAGACGAGTCCCAGATAAAGGCCTGTAGTTTCCTAGAATTAAGTAAGAATAAAGACCATCTTAGATAACGGACTTAACAGTGATGATATACAAAGGTTACAATGTGTATCTACCAAATCTGCCCTTTACTAGGCCAAAAATATAATAAGCTTTGTTTGGCGTTGCTGGCCAACTCACATAAATTGGTGTAGTCTTAGGATTTTTTTCAACTAAATATTGATCATAATTTTCTTCATTTTATTGAGGAGCATTAAAACAGGTGAAGATTGAGCCAGACTGTGACAAGTATAAAAAAAAACGATAGACTCTGAAAAAAGAAATCAGATTGACAGAGGGACGGAGGAACAGACTAATCCCTGTAGATCCCTACTAATGACTTACATGTTAACAATGTCTCTGATTGCCTCATCAGCCGTCTCGTCCCTACTAATGACTTACATGTTAACAATGTCTCTGATTGCCTCATCAGCCGTCTTGTCCCTACTAATGACTTACATGTTAACAATGTCTCTGATTGCCTCATCAGCCGTCTTGTAATCCCTGTAGTTCCCTACTAATGACTTACATGTTAACAATGTCTCTGATTGCCTCATCAGCCGTCTTGTAATCCCTGTAGTTCCCTACTAATGACTTACATGTTAACAATGTCTCTGATTGCCTCATCAGCCGTCTTGTAATCCCTGTAGTTCCCTACTAATGACTTACATGTTAACAATGTCTCTGATTGCCTCATCAGCCGTCTTGTAATTCCGTGGTTCCATCTGACGGTACATGGTGGAAAGTTCCACTTGTCGTTTGAAGTACATTTCCACTGCACTATTTCTCACTGTGGCATACTTAAAATCTTCATTTGGGTTCCTCAGCTACAAGACAAAAATAGAAGCTAAATATTAAATACATCTAGTTAACAGCTCTAAACTTGCAGTCAATTCAAACCCAAGGTCTATACCATACAGTCACCTGAATATGATCATCCTTCATTGAGCAAAAGAGTAAACTCTGGTGACCTAAAAATTGTTAGTTTTTTTCCTTTTAATTTCAATCAAACATATATTTCCATTATTTTAGAAGTTAGTACTTAGATGTATGCTTTCAGGCTATTTACAACACTAGGACATTCAGTGTGTTGTGTTTTCTTGATGTTAATTAAGTATACTTATGGCTTGAACTCTGACCCTGGCATCATCAATCCCAGTAATGGAAGCTTCAGGTCTGTCTAAGACAAGGAAGGCAGCTAGGTTAGCAGTGTATGATGCCACAATGATCATAGCAAAGCCTGCCCATACCATACCAAGAACCCGGGCACTGAAACTTCTCGGGGTACCTGTGTAAAAAAAATTCTTATTAAACCATAATGCTGATTATTATTTATCTAAATACAGTACACTTCTCAACTAGCTAAACTTATTTAAGTTTATGTGTAACCCCAAATATGACAAATGTTTATATCATATGATTCATAATTATGCAAGATTCAGTTAAGAAATAAGGTATCATTTTTAAACATCTATCGGGATATAAATAAGGGTTGGTCACTAGATTAAATTCCATGCTTTATGATGAATTTAATCTCGTACCAACCCGTATTTATAACCCGATAGATGTTTTAAAATGATACCTTATTACTTATATTTATATTTGTGACTTATTCATACTTTATATTTGCCCGAGTGTGACTTTAAACGTGTGAAATGCGTTATTTTACAAACCCAACAGCATGTATGTAATCCACTGAATGGGCGTCGACCCATTATGACGTCACAGAGAAATTATGTCGAACGATTACCCATACGCACATCTATGACCTCTTGCCCCCGTACCGGTATTTATACAGTTATAGATAAGCATTGCTTCCAGTAGTGTTATATAAAGGAAAACATTTGCAAATGTAAATATTAAAAAAAATATGCATTATAGTGTAGTCTATATGTCAACCAAATTTTAAAGATATTGTATTAAACTATAGGGTAAGTTTATTGAAAAGGAGGCCCATTGGTCTTCATAGTTTCATCACTTCTCATGCTTTGACCAACCTAAAACTAAGTTTCATGTCACAGAAGTTTTACAGGACTACATAATTAAAAATATTCATGAATCTTTTTTTCTAGAATTTCAGGAGTAAAGAAGATAAAGTGTATGAATGAAATTTATTTATATAAATCATTCTCCAATACAAAAGTAAAATAATTTCCCACCTTCTCCTATTCCGCTGTTGAGGAGGACTCCCCAGGCAAACCACATGGCACTTGATAAATTCAGGGCATCCTCCTCCGTGTCATTATTCTTAGCCAGCTTGAAGCGCCCAAAGGGACTGAACCTGTCCAGGAGGTAGAGGACCAGGGCCACCACGTGTACAGACAGCGCCACCAAAATCCACAGCGTGTCCTCAAACGGTTGTAGGAAGGAGTCCAGTTTAGACTCGGTAGCTGTCTACACAATAAAGATTGATAACTTCATCACAGATGTACTAGAGTATATTCAATATAAAAGGAATCCAATGTACATTTTATTTGTTTAAACAAATATTATTATTAATGCTTATGAAAATTAAAGTATTTAAACTTAAAGCATTTTGATATAACACAACATTCTTTACTATTGCTAATGATATTTGAGGCCATATAATTAACTAACTGAAATAAAAGCAATTCAGATACAATCGTGTATCCTATTTGAAAGATTTTGACTGGAAACCAAAGGCTAAAGCATCAGGACAAATAAGGTTCTACCATAATTATGGCACGGTTTTCTTTGAAAAAAATAATCCATTGGACCAGTTATTCATTTTTGTTTTGTTTTTCTTCCTTATTTTTTAAATAAACCTTTGACCTTACAGGGGTTTATCAAAGCTTCCAGTAAACAGACCTCTCAGCTTTTGAAAAATTGCAAAAATTTCCCTTTCAGTTTTAGTAAAGGAAAATATCCTCCACTGATAAAAAATGCATATACCACTTAAAATAATTATATTTATTTGTGCTTATTCTAGAAATGACTTCCAGATGTGCTCTAAAAATGCAAATTTTATAAACATTTATCTGAAAACTTCTAGAGGAGCAAACCCACACACTCCCATAGAATTTTTTTTTTTTGACAGGTAGAAAAATGTAAAACTTCCTTCTTTAGACAAACTTGATCAGCTGTACTTTATAGACAATAATAGCATGCTGATAATAAAAATGTGCATCAGATGAACAAAACTGTATAGAAGTATGTCTGGCAATTTCACAGGAGTGTGTGTTAATAACACATCAATACATGTATCAATAACATTATAGAGATAAACCTTTCTGACAAGAATGGTCAGGCCCTGGTACTTGAATGGCTTAGAGAAGTCAATGCGTCCAGCCCTCTCAGGGTTTATGGTCAGTGGAGCTACAATCATGTCTGCTTCCTTATCAATGAGTTCAGCAATGATGCCATTCCACTTCTTCTCCCCAGTCTTATTCACCTGAAAACAATCATCATACTGTTAAGACTTGTCCCTACAATAGCAACATTGAGTCTGTAAGCCAATGCTCACTAGTAAAAAAAACCCTCTTTGAAATGATGCATGTAATATTTTATACACTCCAATGAGAATATATTGGTATGGGAAGAAGCAGGGATAAACAGAAAATTGATATCAGATATGAATGAAAAAAATTCCGCCACATGGCATGCCTAAAAGTAGAGTTTTTTCCCTCCAGAAAATAATGAAAATTTTTACCATAATTGTTATGATAATAGCTACCTTTTTGTAGGATCCGAACTCTCCACTGGAGCCCAAATGTATAGAGTAGGTAAAGTTGACCATATCTGCTATCTGTATCAGCATGTCTATACAGTAGCCCCAGCAGCAGTAGTCTTCTTTAATACCTACAAGATATACCACAACTGTAGGAGTATCTCCCTAAAATATATACCACAACTGTAGGAGTATCTTCCTACAATATATAGTACAATATACGAGGGACGTTCAATAAATAATGTCATTAGCTCGATGACATACAAAATAGTAGTCATATGACATAAAGCTTGACTTTCTCTCATTATTTAATCTTTAATGAATTTATAACAGTTTAAGTGACCACTTTTCATCACATAGTTTTATCGCGAGAAGCTGGGAAACAAGGGCTATTCGAGACACTGCATTATAAATGAATGGTAAAGAATCATTAAACTAGAGTGAAAATAAAAGCTACATTAAAGCTGCTGTAAAACTTGTTTAAAATCCCAAAGAAATATTCACTGAAATATGTGACATTTACAGCAACCGATGCCTGTTTTATAGACAAATGAGCAGGTGGATTTCAATGATAAAAAAATATATAATGGGCATCAAAAATGGGTACCCTCTTTGCCAACAAAAATTATAACAACTTATGTACTGTATGCCAAATTTCAACAAATAATATTTGATGTTGTACGATTGACTTTAAGACACATATCAAATTTGATAGACATCATATCGGGAGTAGTTTACACTGTTTTTAAGAAACGTTTGACATTAATTAAGCTTGGTACTCTAAGGTCACCCTGTATTTTGAAAAATGAGTGAAAACGACAGCGAGTACCAAAGTCTTAACAATTATTTTAAAATATCAGTAATTGTAGTAATCCACGTTTGTTTTATATTCAAACAGAAATTGGAACATGAATCTATTGCTTAAAACAATGAAAACAAAATTTAACATAAGATGTACTTGATAAAAACGGCGAAGGTCTGTCAAGAGCAAAGGTTTGCAAGAGCACAAAGACAGATTTATATGCAATTTTCTTAAATATTTGTGGTATTGTTGTTCAAATTCGTATTCGGGGAGACAGTTTAATATCTGGAGGTGTCTAGAAAGCAGTTTTTTTGCAAAGAAATCTAAAGGTTTATCAGTGAAAGGACCCAGAATCAGGAATCCACTATATTGAATTTCTTCATGACAGCGTTCAAACCCGCATGCCCTAAAGAGTAAAGGGGTTTTCGGGATAAACAGAAAGTTAATGTTTTTTCACATTAACAATATTTGCCAGATCTTTGACCTTTTGACTTGTTTCTATTTCCAAACTTGAAAAAAACAGAAGGAAAAAAAAAGTCCAGGAAATCATTGGATCTGCCATTTTCCAGTATATTAAGGGTCATACCCAAAAATGAGTTCTAAAAACAATCAGAAATTGGATAAAAAATGTTACTGACATGTGTTTGAATTAAAAGAGATTAATAAGTAAAATCATGAAGACTAAATCATTGAAAAGCGTCGTTTGCTTCTTTCTGAGCCCCAATGACATTATTTATTGAACGCCCCTCGTATACCACAACTGTAGCCGTATCTCCCTATAACATATACCACAACTGTAGGAGTATTTCCCTACAATATATACCACAACTGTAGGAGTATCTCCCTACAATATATACCACAACTGTAGGAATGTCTCCCTACAATATATACCACAACTGTAGGAGTATCTCCCTACAATATATACCACAACTGTAGGAGTATCTCCCTACAATATATACCACAACTGTAGGAGTATCTCCCTACAATATATACCACAACTGTAGGAATGTCTCCCTACAATATATACCACAACTGTAGGAGTATTTCCCTACAATATATACCACAACTGTAGGAGTATTTCCCTACAATATATACCACAACTGTAGGAGTATCTCCCTACAATATATACCACAACTGTAGGAGTATTTCCCTACAATATATACCATAACTGTAGGAGTATCTCCCTACAATATATACCACAACTGTAGGAGTATCTCCCTATAATGTATACCACAACTGTTGGAGTATCTCCCTACAACATACACCACAACTGTAGGAGTATCTCCCTACAATATATACCACAACTGTAGGAGTATCTCCCTACAATATATACCACAACTGTAGGAGTATCTCCCTACAACATATACCACAACTGTAGGAGTATCTCCCTACAATATATACCACAACTGTAGGAGTATCTCCCTACAATATATACCACAACTGTAGGAGTATCTCCCTATAATGTATACCACAACTGTTGGAGTATCTCCCTACAACATACACCACAACTGTAGGAGTATCTCCCTACAATTTATACCACAACTGTAGGAATGTCTCCCTACAATATATACCACAACTGTAGGAGTATCTTCCTACAATATATACCACAACTGTAGGAGAATCTCCCTACAATATATACCACAGCCCTACAACATATACCACAACTGTAGGAGTATCTCCCTACAATATATACCACAACTGTAGGAGTATCTCCCTACTACATATACCACAACTGTAGGAGTATCTCCCTACAATATATACCACAACTGTAGGAGTATCTCCCTACAACATATACCACAACTGTAGGAGTATCTCCCTACAACATATACCACAACTATAGGAGTATCTCCCTACAATATACACATGTACCACAACTGTAGGAGTGTCTCCCTACAATATATACCACAACTGTAGGAGTATCTCCCTACAATATATACCACAACTGTAGGAGTATCTTCCTATAATATATACCACAACTGTAGGAGTATCTCCCTACAATATACACATGTACCACAACTGTAGGAGTATTTCCCTACAATATATACCACAACTGTAGGAGTATTTCCCTACAATATATATCACAACTGTAGGAGTATTTCCCTACAATATATACCACAACTGTAGGAGTATCTCCCTACAATATATACCACAACTGTAGGAGTATCATTTTTCATTAAACTACATGTACTTGAAAATCCAGAAATCTAAATAAATGAAAAATGCTTTAATTCTATAACAAATTGATTTTCTAAAAATAGATAAATACAAGACATAATTTGATATCAAATCAATAAATAAAGAAAAGACTGAATTTACTCCTTCAGTCCTTCTTGCAATTATTTTGTACATTTTTAGAGAAAAAGTTGCACATACACAACAATGAATAAAAGTCTTAAGATTTTTCTCAAAACTTTTGTCCTAGAAAGATTTGAGGCTGGTATATGAGGTGAGATGAGATGTTTAATATAGCTATGTAAGTGGCCCTCCAGCCTGTCCTTAAGATGGGAACATTCTGATGGCTCCCTTTTCATTAATTTGTATGTACATGTGTATGTATGGCTTACCTGTTGTTTCATTTACCAGGGGACATAACCTCTCATTCCTATCCCAGTTACATGAGTCACTCTCTGTCATCTTTCTGGTGTATACAAACGGCACAGATTCCAAAGTCACAATCTAGCAAGAATTTTTTCATCACAAATACAGAAAATAAATCATTTAAAAATCATTTGTTATGTCTCAAGGCTCAATTTTCTTTAAATATATAATAATAATAATTAAAAACACTTTGACAGAACAAGGGGTTTACTCAAAGGGAGGTTGATACAATTCACAAAAGGAAGAAAGGTTTTTTTATAGTCACCACAGTAATTAATATTAACAAAGTAACAAGACTTTAATACCTTTAATTCTGTAGAGATGTTAATTCCACTTGGCCTGGTTTTCTTCTTGCCTGGCCAAACTATTTTGGACTCATTTATTTCTAGAGCATTACTGATGACCTAGTAAAAGATACCTAATATTACTTGTTGTATCATACATTCATAAGGCACTAATTTTTTTCGCATTGCAATACATGATTCACAGTAAGTAGTAATTTGAGTGTATATTGTTTGTATGTGAATACTGCTCAAGAATTCATTTGAAATTTTCATTAGAAATAAATTTCCTGTAAATGAAAAAATTAATGAAAGAGGGTGTACATGGCGTGGACAATCCCCCACTCTGAAATAATATGTTTCTTAATTTTCAAAATTCACGGAAAAGTTATGTTTTTCTAAAATCATGTTCTCAGTAATGTCATCTTCAAAACAAACAATTATTTTATTTTTTACTGAATGATTTATCATTTGACAATCTTTATTTCAAAGTTGACAGTTAAAAGCATATTTAGTGGAAAATGGGTTTACTGGACATTTTCGGTTGGGTGAACTTCTACAGCTGTTAGCAACTATGGATAAAGACATGTGGAAACCATATTGTGCCAAAATGAAATAACTAATACAAAAAATGATTTACATGTAACCTTATCAATTTAAATGGTTCATAGATACATTTGACATTTTTAAACAAAAAAAGTTCAAAACAAAAAAGTATTCCATACAGTATCATGTTACGTCTGCGCAAAATACCAAATGCCAAAACCGTAATTCTACTAAATGATAAAACATATTCCTTATATACACATGATGAACCACAGTATTTTTGACCCCTTGAAAATAATATAAATAATCTTGCAATTAAATTAACAACATTGGCTAGTTCGAAAGAGGCATTTGGAGCTCGGCTCAAAATAACCCATAGTTATAAATCTTGACTCGAAATTCTGAATCAGAAGTTTGAAGTCGAGTACATCATCGAAATGTAGGTTATACAAATTTCGTGTGAAAACACTTGTGATGCTGAAAGCTGGAGTGAGCTTTACTCCGACAAATGAAATACTGGGAACGCATTCCACAAACAAAATTTTCGAGATTTTAGGAATGAATTGATTAATAATTACATATGAAATTCATAGTTTTATGAACGTAAAGGTGGGGGGCAGTGGAGCCCCCCTCCTTATATAATCATGCAACACAGGGTTGCAAGTAACATTTAAACCTTGGGGGCCATGTGGGCCCCCAACTTCACAATTTTTACCAGCCCACATTGATTTTATGGGGCCCACAATTTTTTTTTTTCACTTTGTAAAAAATCTTTTCATATGAAAACATAAGCGAAAAATACTTTATGGCCATAGTATTTCATTATTTCTTTTCAAAAATTTCCTGAAGACTTTTTACACTACTCAATGTATGAAATTCCATGTTGTCATTCAATTCAATTTTGTTTCTTTTGATTTAAATTGTTTCAGGGCATGTATTTTGAATTAGGCTTAAGAAATATTTGATTTTTGTAACATTCCCAAATAACCAAGGGTCGGTATTTCGGTTGATTTTTTTTTTTCATAAATAAAGGAGCCAAACATACCTGGACTGAATTAACCAGGTGTTATATTTACAGTAGACACCCAACATGGCTGCCTATAGCGGCAGAAAAAGAATGGGGGAACCCAAATTCTTGTTACAATAATGATTACTCTTTAAATTTAAGGTAAACGTTGACTAGATTGACATATTTTGTATCTCAAATAAAGCTACAATTAATATTTGAAAAATGGAATCACTTGAATGATCAAACACGGAAAAATCCGCCTGGGATATGAAAACGAAAGTACATCGAATAGTTGAACCAAACTACGATCTGATTCTGGAAAAGGTCCGATAAAATTCTTACTAGCCATGTGGGCGATGATATTCTCAAGAGCTGGTCGCCCACAGGAAAATTTACTCGCATTTGCGAGTGGGCGAGTGGTTATTTGCAACCCTGCAACATATAATAAACTACAGAAAATAAAACTACTTTATGTATCTGCCCTCTCCCCCCACTGTTGAAAATGTTCATTGAACATTGCCCGTTTGCCCCCCCCCCCCCCTTCTTCTTGTTACAATAATGATTACTCTTTAAATTTAAGGTAAACGTTGACTAGATTGACATATTTTGTATCTCAAATAAAGCTACAATTAATATTTGAAAAATGGAATCAGCTGAATGATCAAACACGGAAAAATCCGCCTGGGATATGAAAAGAAAGTACATTGGATAGTTGAACCAAACTACGATTTGATTCTGGAAAAGGTCCGATAAAATTCTTACTTGCCATGTGGGCGATAATATTCTCAAGAGCTGGTCGCCCACAGGAAAATTTACTCGCATTTGCGAGTGGGCGAGTGGTTATTTGCAACCCTGCAACATATAATAAACTACAGAAAATAAAGCTACTTTATGTATCTGCCCTCTCCCCCCACTGTTGAAAAAGTTCATTGAACATTGCCCGATTGCCCCCCCCCTCCAATTTTTGTTGCAGTATAGTTAAATAAGGTAATGTGAAGTTAAGGAATAAAAAATTTAGCAATGAAAGATATTGAAACCTATCTAACTTGTCAGGTTTCTTCAAGCAAGTCGAATTTTTTCTGACTGTTCTAATCCCTCCCCCCCCCCCCCAACTTAAAAAAAACGATGCTACCTACCTGAGTTAAATTTACTTAATTGTGTTCACAGAAAATGCTTGATTGTGCTTTCAAACTGGAAAAGTTCTTAAGGGCCTGGAATTCTTGGACCAATTTTATTTTATTAACCCAACTTAATTTTATTTTTTTTTTAAGAATGCAAGGTTGTATGGTATGTAAATATGGTATGTAGTTCATGTTTTTAAAAAAAACCCTTAGCGATGTTTGACAACATCCCATTTAAGGTGTAAAAAACAGTTTAAAATTCTTTATATACTTTACTTTAAATATTATTGCGCATACTGCGCTTCATAGTGAAGATCCATAGTCGCTATTTTTGTAAATGTTCACCCAACCGAAAATGTCCACTAGTGCCATAAAAAATGAATTTTTGGGTTCAATTCTTCGTTAACGCTTCAATGATGGAAACATAAATGTGAAATGTATTTCATTTGTCCAACAACCTGTTCATTTAAATAACACTGACATACATCTATAACACATATACTTCGTAGCAAAGTGGTAAATATGGAGGATCTTGCGCCAAACCCTGTGCTATAGAGAGAGTTCGAATCATACATGAAGCTTTTTCTTTTTTGTTTTCACATATCTTAAAATCATGAGTAAAAAATAAATTATTAATAAAATATTAAAACAACAAGCAAATTCAAAGAATTGTGGTCCCCCGCTTTTGGTGTCTTTTTGGGGTGAGATGTCATTTTTTATGACATCTTGTGTCTAATATGAATGCCCTATTATACATGTCATTTAGAAATTATCACTGAAATTGATTTTTTTAAAAATGAGGTAAATCGTGAAGGTCAAGGGGTCAGAAATCATAGCATGCTTGGAAATATCTTGTCACAGGTAATGCATATGTCAAATATGAAAGCCCTAATCTCTTCTCAATATAAGGAACAAGATGTGTTTGTTAAACACTTATTCCCCCCTATGCCAACATAGCGAAATTAAACTTTTCTTAAATGCAAATTGAATATATTAATACCCAAAGTAGGGTCTTTTTATAAGAAATACAATTGTGAAATACGAAATCCCTAGCACCACCTGTTCAAAAGTTATGACCAAGGATACATTTTTGAAAAGTAGGTCAAGGTCAAAGGGTCAAAGTTCTTGATAACAAATGAAAGGTCCTGCCATAAGGATTACATATGTGAAGGATGAAAACCCTAACTCTAACCATTCAAAGGTTATGGACAAGGTTAAAGTTTTTTAAAAGTAGGTAAAACTACAGGGTCAAGGTCAAAGGGTCAAAGTTCTTGATACCCAGTGAAAAGTCCTGCCATAAGGATTAAATATGTGAAGGATAGGCCTGTCACGGGTACCTGAAATGACCCAGAACCGTGGAACAATTAATTCGGGTCGGTTATGTTCTGTTTTTCCGGAATCCGGTTCGGTTCCGATTTGTACAATAGAGTAGGTTTTTACCATAAAAATCGCGTCTAAAACAGAAGGTTCATTAGTCTATTACCATTAAAAACGGTAATAATGTGATTTGAATCATTTGATTCAATTATTTTTCTCGTTATGAAACTTATTCAAACCAGTCATTATGTTTCTGTTTCTTAGATTTTAAAGAATCTAAAGTTTTTGTTGAATATAATTCAAGTCATGAGTTTTTATTCTATTATAGACCCGAGCTGAAAAACCTGAAACCGAATCTAAAAACATAAGAACCGACGAAAACCCTAAACCTAACTGTTCAAAAGTTATGGACAAGGTTAAAATTTTTTAAAGTAGGTCAAACTCCAAGATCAGAGAGTCAAAGTTCTTGGTATGCGATTAAAGGTCTTCTCAAAAGGATTACACAAGTGAAGTATGAAAGCCCTAGCCCTTACCATTCAAAAGCTATGGCCAAGCTTAAAGTTTTTTTATAAGTACCGAAATCTCATCAAGGTCAAAAGGGTTGGTATCAAATGAAAGGCCTTGCCACAAAGAATACATATGTGAAATATGAAAGTCTGAGTATCTACCGTTCAAAATTGTAGCCAAGGTTAAAGTTTTTAAAAAGAAGGTCAAACTTCAAGGTCAAGGTCAAAGTTCTTGGTATTCAATGAAAGGTCTTCTCACAAGGATTACATATGTGAAGTATGAAAGTCCCAGCCCTTGCTGTTCAAAAGTTATGACCAAGGTTAAAGTGTTTTCATAAGTATGGAAATCTCCAAGGTCAAGGTCAAGACATCAAAGTTGTTGGTATCCAATGAAAGGTCTTGCCACAAGCAATATATATGTGAAATATGATAGTCCTAGTATCTACCATTCAAAAGTTATGGTCAAAGTAAAAGTTTTGGATTTTTGTGTAAAAGTGGGTCAAACTCCAAGGTCAAAAGGTCAAATTTGGTGGTACCCAAAAAAAAGGTCTTGTCACAAGAAATACACATGAAAAATATGAAAGTCATAGCTCCACTTAATCAAAAGTTATGGCAAGGTTAAAGTTTTTGTGACAGACTGATGGATGGACAGACAGACAAACAAATGAGATTTAATGTCCCCTCGCTTTCACGAAAGCAGGGGACAATAAAATACAGAATTAAACTTGTAAAAATCTTAAACCTTTGGATTTCCATAAAAGCCAATATTTTCAATGCTAGGCTTTCCATTCTTCAGCTGAACATTCTGGAAATAGTAGACAGGATTCAGGCGATCCCCTGAGGAGTCAAAGGCTATCTGTCCAGTCTTGCCTTTTTCCAACTTGGCATCCAACAGAGCCCTGGAAAAAAGTTGGATTGATTGTATGTTGTTTTATGTCCCATTCAAGAATTTTTAAAGCATAAAGAGACTTCCTTGTATACCAGTATATTGCGATTTGCCATTCTGTTCACAGTTAGTTAGGAGTGTCTACAATTTTATGGTTAATTATCATGGTTATTACCCTTCATAAAAATACATAGTTTTTTTTCAATCAGCTACAAAGTGACCTACTTTAGGATGGTATTGCCGGCCCGCCAGGTGGAGGAGGTGGTGTTACAGCTGTTAGGGGTGTCTGTTATCTCTGACAGAGTTCCATTAACCAGCTCCTTGACGGTCTGTACTATCAGACTTACACAGTCCTCCAGGTGCTCCTTCTCATTGTTCCCAAGGAATAACTTCAGTCCCAGGGTACCTATATACAACAGAGTTTAGACCAGGTATATAGGTGTTTCCATGCAAATAACTAATTAAAATGCATTAGAGCTATACCAATAACATTTAAGTGACTACTTCGAAATCATAATTAATTGAAGCATTGTACTGTGAAAACCATTAACAAAGTTGTTTTGTCCTCTATTTGGATAGACAAAAGAACCCTTCAGACTTGAAAATGTGTGACTGAATTGTTATTGAATTAATTTACAATGAAAACCAGGCAACATAATAGTATACATGCAGTAATCCTATTTGCCCTCCAATTAATTTTTAAACATGTGGCATTATATAAAACAGGAAAACTTCATCGTAGCCAAGTTTGAATATAAGACACAACATCTTATAAAATTATTCCTGTGATTTCATCAAAATGGGTATTGAAAGAAACAAGAGGCCCACGGGCCTTATAGGTCACCTGAGTATCATGTAACAACTTTCCAGCGATTGTATTTGGTTCGTGTTTTAAGCCAAAAGCCATGAAATTCACAAATTTTGAAAGAGGCACCATTGCTTATCAAAGGGCAGATTCCAAAGCATTAATTCATTTTTAGTCAAAGTACCCCCTTGGTACCCTTGACCCAGCAGCCCTGAAATTATCTATTTTGAAAGAGGCCCCTTTCTTCATTATAAGGCCAGCATTTTTTTTTTTATGTTTAAGTTTAGTTATGAACATGAGAATAAAAAATCCCGAAGGAAAAGGAAATAAATTTTTTTGATAAATCAATTATTAACATTTGTACATTCTTTTTTTATGCTATCCTAATAGGCTCCTTACCACTGGACACATAATGCTTACAAATAGGAAAGTAAAACATTTAATTGCTTATTTCATCATCTGCCAGTTTGGGCCAGTTATATAAATTTTGTGATGTTGATCAAAATATATTTTAAACATAGGTAATCAGAGATTACAAGCTCACCTCAACGAATGTTTTTTTAAGGCAAAGTCACACAATTAACCAACAAAAAGTGTACATTCCAAAAATGAAAATATTTATCTGATACTTTGAAATAGACCTACATAAAAAATTTAAACTAGTTCTTCTTAATGAAAATGTAATAAAAATTCTGAAGCAATTTGAGAGTTTTCATCTCTTGATGCAACATTTGTGCAAGTTTGGTTTATAAGGCCTTATAGTTTTTTGGAAATAGACCTGCAACCATAACTTTTACCTGGTCTTTTCTGAATAATGTATGTCGAATTCAGCATCCGAAGCAAGTCCATTAGTGTGCATCCTAAGATGTACCATGCAAGTTTGCTCATTATAGGGCTCATAGTTAATGGAAATATTAACATATATCAAAAACTAACATTTTCACTCATCCACTATCCTATGCATAGGCATCCTTAAAGAACTCATAGTTACTTGGACACAAAAACTTTAATGCTTACAAATAAGTGTGAAAGTAAAACATTTGGAAATGAAACCTGCACCAAAAACTTTTACCTGTTCACTCAACTGGAAAATGTATCAAATTCAGCATCCGAAGCAAGCCCAGTACATGTAGTATTCATCCTTAGATGTATCATACATGTAGGTTTGGTCAACATAGGGCATATAGTTACTTAAAAATGAACCTGCACCAAAAACTTTAACCTGTTCACTCAACCGGAAAATGTCATCCGAAGCATTTCATATGCATTCTAAGATGTATCATCCATGCAAGTTTGGTCAACATAGGGCTTATATGCACCAAAAACTTTTTCACTCAACCGGAAAATGTGATCAAAATATATTTTAAAAAATCAATTCTTTAAAAGTCTTTCAATATATCTTCATTTTTTTAATATGTGTTAGGTGAATGTGTAGACATTGTTCTAAAATTTACTTGATGCCTAAAATTATAATTCCTATCATAAAACAGACAGGAAGTATTGGGGAGTAGGGTCAACATTTTTTCAATTAAGTGTAAAATAATTTTTCTGGCTGATACAAATGATACTACATGCCTGTATATATTTGTATATTCTTGCCTTTTAATAGTTGAATTTTTTTTTTTATTTCTTCACTTCAGGTTATTGTTTATTTCTTCCTCAAATGGACTTCACTTCTCCCATAGTTTTATTCATTACATCTGATGCATAAGCAACCATTTTCTGAAGAATGATGCTTAGACTGTAAGCTATAACAGAGACCTAAACAATGTCCCTGGCAATATGCAATAGCTACCACGGGCATTTAAAACCTGGGAGAGGAAAATAATTTACAGTTACTTTTGAAACGAATACATAATTATCTCACCCGCATGTCATTGTGCAACAAAGTCGTCAGCATTTTATTTGTCCTTTGAACGGGTGAAACGTTTTGAATGGCACTCTTATCGATGAATTTTACACTAAACCAAGCTAAATTCTTGGATCTAGCTTTATTTACCCGCCGTTTCAAATTAAAACCGGAAGTGCGAGTTCGTAAATTTGAAATCTCGATCCCGACTCAAATTTGACATCGGAAAGAAAAATTTTTTTATTTTTTTCTAAAAATTCAAAACCTTGAGCGGGGGGTTTGTAAAACTGAAAATAAAATAAATCCTGGCCTTAGATATGTAATTAGATCATTAGCATATTAACCAATAGAAAAGGATAAGATGTTCAAAGAATGAAATCCAGTCAAAGCGCCCCATAATAAAACCGTCCCGGTCAAAGCGTCCCCTGATTTTGGTCAAAGCGTCCCCTGATTTTGGTGAAAATGTCCCCTGATTTTGGTCAAAGCGCCCCTTATAGAATTTTACAGTAAAATGATGTTACAAAACCACCCCCAAATATTGGTCAAAACGCCCCCAAATATTGGTCAAAGCGTCCCCTGATTTTGGTCAAAGCGCACCCTTACATTTTTTCTTAGAAAAAATCGTCTTGGAACCGTCCCCAAGCAATGGTCAAAACGTCCCTGATTTTGGTCAAAGCGTCCCCTGATTTTGGTCAAGGCGCCCCCTAATATATTTTTACAAACATGTTACGGTAAAAAAAAAGTTTTGTATTTATAATATTATCATTGTTTTGCAGTTACCCGAAAAAATTCTATAAAGGGGCCCTTTGACCAAATCAGGGGACATTTTGACCATTTCTTGGGGATCGACTCGAAACGTTTTTTTTTCTGCGAAAATATATTAGGGGGCGTTTTGACCAAAATCATGGGGCGCTTTGACTAAAATCAGGGGACGCTTTGACCAAAATTTGGGGGTGGTATTTTTTTTCTATAAAAAAATGTTAAGGGACGCTTTGACCAAAATCATGGGGCGCTTTGACTTAAATCAGGGGACGCTTTGACTAAAATCAGGGGACGCTTTGACCAAAATTTGGGGACGGTATTCTTTTTCTATAAAAATATGTTAGGGGACGCTTTGACCAAAATCATGGGGCGCTTCGACTTAAATCAGGGGACACTTTGACCAATATTTGGGGGCGATATTTTTTCTATAAAAATATGTTAGGGGCGCTTTGACCAAAATCAGGGGGCGCTTTGACTAAAATTAGGGGACGCTTTGACCGGGACGTTTTTATTAGGGGGCGCTTTGACTGGCTCCCCAAAGAATTCATGCATTTCACTATATAATCATTAGAGCCCCACCCTAAAACAAGAACCCCTGACCCTGGGGCCATAAAATTCATGATTTTGGTAGAGGCACTCTTGCTTATCATAACTATGTACTTACTTAGTTTATTTAATACCCAGGAGCAGAGAACAAGATTTTCAAAGAATTCATGTATTTTCACTATATAATCAATAGAGCCACGCCCTAACACCAGAACCCCTGTCCTTGGGGCCATAAAATTCACAATTTTGGTAGAGGCACTCTTGCTCATCATAACTATGTACTTAGTTGGTTTATTTAATACCCAGGTGCAGAGAAGAAGATTTTCAAAGAAATAATGCATTTTCACTACCTACTTATTTAGCCCCGCCCTAGCACTAGAACCCCTGACCCCAGGGCCATGAATTTCACAATTTTGGTAGAGGACTCATTGCTGATTACAATCATGCAAACAGTTTGACTGCTTGATGTCCAGGAGTAAAGAAGAAGATTTTTAAAGATTGCATTAATTTTAGTGGTTTTGGCCCCACCCCTCAGGCCCCAGGGGGGCAGGGATCATGAAATTCACAATTTTTGTTCCCCTTCACCCATAGATGCTTTGTGCCAAATTTGGTTTAAATTGGTTCAGTGGTTGCAGAGAAAAAGCTAAAAATGTTCAAATGTTAACGCACGACGAACGACGCACGACGCACAACGAACGACGACGGACGAAAACAGATAGCAATAGGTCACCTGAGTTTACTCAGGTGACCTAAAAAAAAGAAATGATATACTGTATACAGGTTTTTTTTCGACCCTTGTTATTTTCAGCCTTTTACACTTGCTTACAAACTCGCCTAGTCCCAGTTCTGTTTAAGAATTTATACTGTGTTCTTTAAATTTGCCCCGTTTTAAATTCACCCACTGGTGACAATGGTGAAAGGGGCGAAAATAAAACGGAGGCGAAAATTTCTCTTATACAGTACATGTAGTATCATTCCAATGTACTAAATATTGGCAATATTTCATATCTCTAACATGTCTATATTAAACACAAAAAGTACTTACTTCTTACAGTGTGTGATGGACAGTTAAGTTCTAACTCTATATAACTTTATATGATATTGATGCACGAGTCTTAATTCTTAACAAGATGAATACGAGGTACAGCTACCTTAGAGCAGGGCTTGCGCCACACGCCATAGTTGCATTGAAGTGAAAAATAGCGCATTAAATCAATCAATGGTGGCGCCAAGGTGCGTATTCAATATTTAGCAATGTTGCATCATAGTCCCATTAACCTTTTTTGCCTTCCCAATCACTGTTAGAGGTGAGTGAGCTGGATTAGAGGTGCTTCTTAAAAAGTGTGTGTATGTGTATACATGTGTGTGTTGTGGGGGGAGGGGGGACTGTAGAAATCTTTACCCTCTGGTTCTGTGTATACCCCAGTACATGTGTGTGTTGTGAGGGGGAGAGGGGGGCTGTAGAAATCTTAACTCTCTAGTTATGTTGTGAGGGGGAGGGGGCTGTAGAAATCTTAACTCTCTGGTTATGTGTATACATGTGTGTGTTGTGAGGGGGGAGGGGGCTGTAGAAATCTTTACCCTCTGGTTATGTGTATCCCATACATGTGTGTGTTGTGAGGGGGGAGGGGGCTGTAGAAATCTTTACCCTCTGGTTATGTGTATACATGTGTGTGTTGTGAGGGGGGAGGGGGCTGTAGAAATCTTTACCCTCTGGTACGTAGGGAGAACTCAGGGCCTGTTCACTGACAATCCATGCATATCCTTCTCCTGTTAAGTTAAGTGCTTTAGCATCCTGGAAAATCTGGTCAGCATCCTCCTGCCTGCAACAAAATACATCTACATTTACATACTGTGAAATCACTAATTTTCCTGGGGATTTTCGTAGTTTTTCGAGGCAAGGAGAGACCCTTGAATTTATGACCATCATGACATGTAAAATGTAAGTTACATTTAAATACTAAAACATTCTCCATGCACGAAATCAAGTCCCCACAAACCAAGATTTTTTCCTCAAAAATAAAAAATTTGACCCCATGAATATATGTGATTTTACAGTAATATGTATACATAAAACAATGAATAAAATAAAATAACATGCAGGTATGTCTTACATCAGATTCACTATATTTCATTCATTGAAACCTGTATCTATTATCAGCCACTTACATTGCTGACAGCAGAACAACTCGAGACTGTAAGCTGCTTAACTGACGTAGGTAGGATTTATAATCTTGATCACCAGATGGATACTTAATTACTTTCTCAATCTGTAAATGAACACAATGTTTAGTTAAAACCTATGTACAGATATAGATATGCTCTTGCTCTTTAATCTGGTCCTGCATAATAAAGCACACTTCAACAAACAAGAGGCCCATGGGCCACATCGCTCACCTAAGCATTGTGGATAGGAAAAAGTAGAAATTGGTTTAAATTCAAAAGTAGTGCCATGACCAATCATAGCTTTGCTATTCTTGAGAAATTTTTTTAAAATTTCCTATATATTTCTATGCAAAAAATTTGGTTGGCCATTTTGGCCCCGCCCTACCCCTGGGGGTCATGATTTGAACAAACTTGAATCTACACTACCTGAGGATGCTTCCATATAAATATGGTCAATTATGGCTTTGTTATTTTTTAGAAGAAGATTTTTAAAGAATTTTCCTATATCTTTGGTCGGCCATTGTGGCCTTGCCCTACCCCCCGGGGTCATGATTTGAACAAACTTGAATCTACACTACCTGAGGATGCCTCCATATAAGTTTCAGCTTTTTTGGCTTAGTGGTTCTTGAGAAGAAGATATTTAAAGAAATTTCCTATATCTTTCTATGTAAAACTTTAGTCGGCCATTGTGGCCCCGCCCTACCCCCGGGGGTCATGATTTGAACAAACTTGAATCTACACTACCTGAAGATGCTTCCATATAAGTTTCAGCTTTCCAGACACAGTGGTTCTTGAGAAGAAGATTTTTAAAGAATTTTCCTATATATTTCTATGTAAAACTTTGGTCGGCCATTGTGGCCCCGCCCTACCCCAAGGGGTCATGATTTGAACAAACTTGAATCTACACTACCTGAAGATGCTTCCATATAAGTTTCAGCTTTTCTGGCATAGTGGTTCTTGAGAAGAAGATTTTTAAAGAATTTTCCTATATCTTTCTATGTAAAACTTTAGTCGGCCATTGTGGCCCCGCCCTACCCCCGGGGGTCATGATTTGAACAAACTTGAATCTACACTACCTGAAGATGCTTCCATATAAGTTTCATCTTTTCTGGCACAGTGGTTCTTGAGAAGAAGATTTTTAAAGAATTTTCCTATATATTTCTATGTAAAACTTTGGTCGGCCATTGTGGCCCCGCCCTACCCCCGGGGGTCATGATTTGAACAAACTTGAATCTACACTACCTGAGGATGCTTCCATATAATTTTCAGCTTTCCTGGCACAGTGGTTCTTGAGAAGAAGATTTTTAAAACATGCCACCAAATTTTTATTAATTCCCAATTATCTCCCCTTGAATGAGGGCGTGGCCCTTCATTTGAACAAACTTGAATCCCCTTTACCCAAGGATGCTTTGTGGCAAGTTTGGTTGAACTTGGCCCAGCGGTTCTTGAGAAGAAGTCGAAAATGTGAAAAGTTTACAGACAGACAGACAGACGGACGGACAGACGGACTACAGACAAAATGTGATCAGAAAAGCTCACTTGAGCCTTCGGCTAGGATATCAGCCAAATTCATGTATCTATACATGAATCCTATTCCATCAACTATCTACTTACAGAAATTTCATCTGCCTTGGACTGGAATCGATTGAGAATCATGCGACCCTCTATGTCCATACTGTGAATGAATACCACCTGATTCCAGTCAAAGTATTGAAGCATCTTCAACCAAACATCAGCCTGATGGAAGTAGGGTGGTACTGTACGCAGGAAGGTCTTGTGAACAGTCTGGAATAAGAGTGATTTAATGAGATCATGACCAAGACAATACATGTACATGTATGTGACATTCAAGTTTCTGAACACACCAGTAAATGTACAATGCTCTATGAACACATTTGCTAAATGCACTCTTTTTGTTACTTTTTTTTTAACTCATCTAACATGTCTAAGCTAAAGACTTGAGTGTCAGTGCACTTTTTGGATTCAAGTTTGATCAACCTGTCAAAAAAATTTCTTTTTAAAATTCTTCTTCAGAATCACTAGAACAATATCAACCAAATGTAAAGAATATCATTGGTAAGTTGGTTGAAGAATTTTTGAATCTGCACTACCTGAACATGCTGAAGATACAAGCACATTATCTGTGACTATTCAAATTAAAGTCCTCTTGATATTGAGAAAAAAAATCAGTTTTTATTTACCATTTTTACAGGCTGAATTATTTCTCTTCCTGCACAAATGAACAATTTAACACTACTATAATTTAATCCTACAATTAGGAATTCATAAGAAACATAAAAATGTTCCTAGTTCTTACCATGTCTGAGAATGAACTGTCTCTTGCTGATATACCAATGACTGGGATAGAGTAGAAGCCACAGGTATAGGACACAGAGATAGGAGGATTGTTGTCCGAATTCTCTGGCTTGCTAACAATAACTGTGTGAACGCCCTTAGATATAACAGCACTACACAAGTTCAAAGCAGATCGAATTGGATTAGCATCCATTTTGATGTAAAGCGCCTGAAATTCTATATCAGCCGGTAAGTCTTGGTTAGCTTTCCTTAAAGCTTCTTCAAATGTTAGACCACTTTCATCTGTACTTACAATACCTGCCATTTTGAAGATGACCTTTCCTCCTGCGGACAGTATGAGACTTACATGTACAATAAGTACCAGAATCCTTATCTTGGCCATACTGAGCCTGAATGATCATCAACAGAGCAGAGGTCTTCTACAAAAAAAAAATAATAATAAATCCTGATATCCAGAAATATGCAGTTATCTCAGTTACATCTACAATAAATGAACTGATCTGAAAATAGTTTAAATAACATAAGAATTAATAATAAAAGGTAGTCAGGATACAATATGTAGTGCACAAACTTCTGGCTAAAAGTGCAATATGTGTTTTCCATCTTCTCTATAAAGACCTGAAAGGCGAGACACTGGCAGGACCTTATTCTTTTAAGAGAAACTTGGACAGGCTTTCCCCTACATCTACCTCTTTTCACAAGCCTTCATGTTTTGATTCTGGAAAACGTGTAAAAATGTAGGACCCGTGACGGCCTACACTTCAACTCATCTCATATAAAATATGTCTGATTATCATAACAGATGTGTTAAATTATATATTTCAAATAAAATTAATACACACAACTGTCACAAGAAAAACTGACATATACCGTCAAACACGAAGGATTATAATTGTGAAGAGAAGAGGAATTACGTAAAGTCTGTCCACTTCTCAAAATAGAATAACAGGATAGGTCAATAGATAGTTTTGGATAGGCCTGAATTTAGCAAGAGTTACTTACCATTGGCCAGAATACTGGAGGTTAATTAACACAGTGATTTTTCCTCTTGTCTAACCAAATTTAAGAGGATGTAGCAGAAATATTTGCTGGAAAATCTTTATTAAATAATTTTTTAAATAAAGGAGGCTTCCAAAAATTTGTATCATTGTTTGTGAGGTTTTCCTTTGATCTCAGCCATTCATTTTTTCTTGATACATAACAGTTTTCCGTGATATATCTGTGATAGATCACACCACTGACCAGTAGCAAGAAATGAAAAAAAATCGTATTTTATTGCAATTTCATGTGCTTACATCATGTTACATGTACATGACATTAAATGAAAATGTGCACAATATTTTTTTCAAATAAAATAAAAAAGATGACATTTAATGCAAGAAAACACAATTGTTTTTTTTACTGTTCAAAGAAAGCCACTCGGGGTTAAAAATGAAAAAGTGCAATTACATGTATTAAATACCGAGCCTGGCTTCAAAATGCAGGTATTTTAACTCTCGGCATTTTCCCTGGAAGTTGCAATTTCACTTTCAGATAAAACGGCACTGTCGCACACCGAACTCAAATTTTCATCCTGAATATTTTCACACTCACTTGTTTTAAGCGTGGTTGTTTCACATTTAATTTTTTTCACGTTTGGGGGATTCAAAACTTCGGAAACACGCTCCTGTAGTGCTGAATTTGATCTTTTGTATTTTCTTACTGCCGTCTCTGACCTGTGACCGGTCCAAGACATGATTTCCTGCTCGTCGATCCCTGCGTGATATAACTGAGTAGCACAGGTCCTCTTGCCCGAGTGGTTGGTAAAGTTTCCCTTCAGTCCTGCTTTACCTGTGATTTCCTTCATCAGGCCCTTTAGTTTGTTAACTCCCAGTTCTTGTTCGCCATATCGCACCCATACAGGACCTGGTCAGCTAAGGGACGGCGGTAAAAAGGTCCACCATTATTGAGAGCTTTGAGATAGGTACAATAGAAATCGGCAAGACACCATTCACCTGAAAAAAAAATAAGAAAACTTTAGTTTGAGGTGTACTACGTTTTCTGTAGCAAAGAATAAATGATCAAATGTCGAGAAGCAGTTTTTTTTCCAACTCTGTGTTTCAAAACGGAAATCAAAACTGGCACCTTGCGCATAATCGAACCCGGTAGCCTACATACTGTAGAAAATCAATATCTAAGGGGGATAACTCTTAAAACAAAACTTGTCGCTCTATTTCATTTTTCTTCTGTTCATTAATAATAGCGATTGCCGGACAAATAACTAAAAGCTTTGTAGATCTAGTACTAGAGTTGGGTATTGCGAGTGAAAACCATATTGCGATATATTGCAATATTTTACGTTGAATATTGCAATATATTGCGATATATTGTAGATTAATTATCATTAATAAATTTGTGCAGAAAGTTTAAAATGCTGTCAAGTTCAAAGACTATTTGAATTTATCTATAAATTTTAAAGGGGGAAGGGGATAAGACATTAATCGTGCACATAATTATAAAAACTTTTAATCAAATACCAGGTAAAATATTAAAACAAAATGTACTCATTTGATGTATTTATAAATTGAAAAAAAAGTATGCATAGTATATTCTCATAGTATATTCTTTATACCTTTTTTCTGGGGGGGAGGGGGTGTTTTATTGAAATAGCATAAAATGTAACTTAATGTTTAAAACAATACATACTATATGGAAATTTTATGTGGTCACAGAAGGAAATTAAAGCCAGAAAGAAATTGTGACATATTTTTGGGCGTTTGGTGTTTTAGTCTGACCCGACCTAATTTCACATTATGACATACGATCAGGAACTGCATTGGCCTATTTCTATTGTTTTAATATACATGCTCCTGGTATAGCATGAAGGTGTTTAAAATGGCATGAAACTTGTTAAAAAATAATAAAAAGCAACACTGTATCAAGTGAAAACATGGATGGCAATTTATTTGTAATATGTATCTTGAACTCTACATTCATCGTCGATCGTGTAGATTCCATGAGATTTTGAGAACCACAGTACACATAGTATACACCTGTAGAAATGTTTTATACATTTTCTTTCTTAATAATTTTATTTAAAAGTCCTTTTATTAAATATTAATTTTATTTTAAAGAAAGATATTTAAAATTGCGACAGTGAATGAAAAGCTCCCCCCCTCTCCCTCTCTTCTCTCTATCTGCCTCTGAAAGCTGACGAAGTATTTTTTTAACTAGATTGAAAAGGCTCGGTAAGTTACAATTATTAATTCAGCAGTTTCTACAAAACAGGAGGTTTTTATATATTTTTATAAATATCGTGAAATACCGGTATCTGATTTTCATATCGCGATATATTATCGTGGTGGATAATACCGCAATATACCGATATACCGGTAATATTGCACAGCCCTATCTAGTACAGTACAATTTTAAAATATACTAATAGAAACAACTTACCTTCTTGGCAGTAATGTTTTAAATCTTTATTGGTAAGCTGCAGATGTTTCAGCCCCCCTTTGTAAGTCTTAGATAATCTGCCCGTAAATGGAATAAATTTTCCTTGCTCGTCTTGCCCAATTTCAAACTGGGAGCACTCCAGATTTCTGTGTTTGTCAAAGGCCCTCAAACCGAATATCTTACAGTTATAGAAGAAAACTGTGTACTGTAGAGCTTGAGAAGAGTGTGACCCGAATACTCTATTAGTCCAGATTTTTTCTTCATCTTCCGGCAACAGTGGATCAGCTTGTTTCACTTTGGTGCCTACGCCTTTTGATAACAATTCCTTCATACGGGCGTCCAAAACTTTACGGAAAACGGCAAAACGGTGGTCATGTTCATCAAGAAAATTCATATTATGAACGTTTTCCTCTCGCAAATGATGCAGTAATCCACAAACAATGAAGTAGAGAGTATGCGGGGGATATTCACTGCCGTCCTGTTTACGTACCTCCAACACAAAGCGTTGTAACCAGTAATTCAGCATTTCTGCGTTCATTTCTTTTATGTAACTTGAAGGTACATTATCTCGAGATGCGCGCCATTTATTAAACATTTCAACACACCATTTCGTATTTCTCTGCGTATTAGGATTGTCTGAGAGTCAATCAGCTGCCGCAAATCATCATCTGACACAGCTTCAGCGAACCTTTGAATCTGTGATTCGTTAGGCCCAACACATTCAAAAGTTTCCATTTTCATGTCACCATCATTTTGATCTATTGAATTCTCCCACGAGAAAATGCCCAAGTCAAAATTTATAGTCTGAAAGTCCATAGGTGTAGAATCTTCTTCCTTGAGGTACACATCATTAAATTGTGAAATGTTTAGGTTTCCTAACTGGCCTACAGAATTTTCAATTTTGATTTCCGTTTCTACCGTATCTAAAAATTGGGATAACAAAAAATCGCAGCCGTCATCCATAGATGTCAATGTAGAAATATTCGAGTACCCCCCAAAAAAACAGCGCCCTATACTTGCGAATCACGTGCTCTTTTTTCATTGGTCATGAAATGGTATGATGAAATATTAATAGAGCAGTGCGTGGGAATATACGCCTGGGAATATAGGCCCGTCAAGATGAACATGCCCTATGAACGTGATATATTGATAGTATCATAGATCATGGTTATAACACAGTGCGTGAGAACAATGATACAAAACATATAGAGTACCTTTGAACACAATCATGCATCTGTATGCAGATATCAGACTTGGGGGACAAGCCCCCTCGTCTGATATATATCTTAAGATACACTCGTTAAAAGGTACTCTATATTTTAAAAACCGATGTACACAAAACGTTACATAGGATAGTTCACGCAGTGTGCGTTATCATAAAAATTGTTATCAAAAATGCAACTTTAGCACCTTACAAAAACACCGATAATGGCAAATCAAATACAATCAGTTATGCACATGAAAGGTGAGTGTGTTTTACCAACAGAATCAATCTGTAATTGTATCCTTCACCTACATTTTCATCGAAGCCAATTTTATCCTCAGGAGCATTGCTGTTATGCGATTGGCTAGTCATTTATGACGAATGGTATGTCGATTTACCCAAAATACCAATAGGGGACTAAAAATCAACAAAACGACTGAGAACCAAGAATTATTCATCTTTTCATTTTATACTTATGCTGAAACGAATATGTATCATATATTAACTGTGTGTCAATACTGGCTCAAAACATTTAGAAATGTATGGAGGGTTAGCGGCAATACTTCCTATCACAGGTATACTTTATAGAGATATACCTTATTGATAAAAACACCTGTGCCAATTTAAAATATTTATTAAATTTCATATTCAGAAGCTTCTAAGCTCCTTTCGAGCACAACCAAAACTTTGCCGTTTAGATGTGAGATAGCTATATTTTCCATCTCTCATCAGATCAATCAGGACATTATTCTAATCGGGACATTATACTATTCCAAGAAAAAAGTTCAATCATACTTTGATATATTCGTATTCTATATTTGATTCGTATGGAATGACAAGAAAAATTTACTAAAATCATTTAATCTGAGATTTTTTCGTTATATATGATTCTATGAACTTTTAAGATCTTTTTTATTTTTATTTTGTCAGGTTTGGTAATGAAAATGTGTACGATTACGCGTACGAGCTAATCTCGGAGAAAACCGAAAGGAAAACGTACTTTTGCTTTGTGTGCGGTAAGCTTGAAAACAACTAATGAACTATGAGATGTTTTGCCTCTGTTTGTAACTGAAAATCCATTTTCAGAAAAAAATTATCTTTGAAAATCCATCTTGAGATTTTTTAAAAAATAATTTTTGAAAAAAAGTATTTATCCCATCATATTGCTTTCAAAGTTTTTGACTTGTTAACAGATGTTATCTTTAACATTTTCTAAGACCTTTAGGCAGAGCGAAATATGAAATGAGTGACAAGGCATCACTAGATTTAGCTACGTATGGGTAGAATTACACCGATTGTTTATCCCTTCATATGGTAGCTTTATTTACCTACCTCAGGTAGCTTTATTTAGCTATTTCAAGGTAAGTTTTCAAATGTTGGCTTTTTATAAAAAAAAAAAAGAGACAGAAAGTCACAATTAAATGACTATTGATATTTATACTAAGGAGACTTTAAAAAACAATCCAAAGCAGAGAAAGTTTATACATTGCTGCGTTTGGACAATTTAGAGCAAAACGTAATTCCATTGTTTGGTTATCTGACCGTGCGGTGATGGTGTGGTGAGGCATGACTGAGTATGATTACTTCACATTGTGCTGAATAATTACCAACATATTATCGTGTTAACCGGAACTGGACTTCTTTGTCATTTCATTCAAGGAGTAACCGTTCTAACTGTCATACATAGCCCCAAAACTTTCAGAACTTTGATTGCAATTGTGCAGAAAAAGACATTTTTCCAAGAGGGATTTTTTCATGAGTTGTTTTCAGATGAGTTCAAAGTTGAAAATGATCACTGCATCAAAATGATATTTTCTGCACACCCTGAGAAAAATGCTTTTTAATAGAAATAGATCAGTTTGGTAGCTAAATAAAGCTACCTCAGGTAGGTAAGTAAAGCTATGTAGGTAAATCAAGCTACGTAGCTAAATCTAGTGATTGTACCAGTCCTGTTTAAGTTTAACCATAAACAGATTGGGACCACTCGCCCAAATGGGATATAACAATCCGTTTGGGATATTATATCCCAAATAGGATATAAATTTACAGTATATTAAAAAAAATTTCTTTGGCTAATATGATTTACGGTGTGACCATTGGGGCGAGCGCAGTTTTACTATCAAAAAAACTTAAAAAATTGGTTAGCCACACGAGACATCTCCACTAGCTGTGACGTCATACGACGTCATGGAGCTCGTCGGAGCTTACGGAGACAGCCGAGTGTCTGTTTGAAACTAAAGACCTAGTGCAATTTTGGTCAAAGTTATTTTTTGTTTCTTTGAAAGATTTCTACAAAGCTGAAAGCCTTTTATGCTTTATGTTATTATCTATTTATTAAGGCAAAGAGCATTGGGTAGTAAAGGAATTCTGGGAATGTTTCACAGAGAAATTTGCCTGATGTATGTACAGATTTCATACCCAATTTCATCTGTTCTTACATGTTAGTCTATTGAGCTGGCTGTGTGAACGTCGCTTCACGATGCTTGCTGCACTCGCTATAACTATCATAAATCTGCATCAAGACACTTGAAATGTTTTATGGTGTGACCGTTCGGGCAAATGCAGTTGTACCTTCAAAAATACACCTGAAACATTGATCCGCCACTTCAAACGTCAAGTTGCACGAGACATCTAGACTGTGACGTCACACAAGAGCTCTTCGGGATTTACGGAAACAACCGAGCATCTAGTAGAAACTATAGACCTTGTGCAATGTTTGTTGAAAGACATTGCAGAGTTATTTTTTGTTTCATTTCAAGACTTCTACAAACTGAAAGCCTTTTATGCTTAATGTTATTTTTTATTTATTTATTCAGGCAAAGGACATTGGGTAGTAAAAAAAATAATGGGAAGGTTTCACACAAAAATTTACCAGACATATGTACAGATTTCATTCCGAATATCCTTTGTTCTTACATGTTACACTCTATTGAGCTCGGTTCACGAGCGTCGCTTCGCAATGCTCGCTGCACGCACTATAAAGGAATAACTTTTGGTTGACAAGTTTTTCTTATACCCCATTAATACGACGAAAATTTACTTATGTGTGCAAATTTACATATAAGTAAATCTACACACGTCAGTAAAAGTTAATTTGCTATGCGTTCAGTCGAGATTTATGTGCTGTAAGTAAATCCTCACATTTTCATATCAACTAAGGAGATGGACAGATTCAGAATTGTGATTTTTTTTTTATAGAGAAAGGGTATTTCCTTACTGTAACTTTATGTATAAGACTAACTTAAGACTAACTTTTAAATCTTCCTCAAAGAAACTGGGGGGGGGGGGGGGGGGGGGTCCGTTCCAATGTTTTCTTGGTTCAACTTAATTAATGACTTTTAAGGAGAAAAAAATGGTATAAGAATTTACACATGAAGAAGGAAAAATTATTAAAATTATCAATATGAGCTGCGAGATTGACATGATTTCTTATATAATGCTATATATTCGATTGTACAGAAATATTTCTTCTGAAACAATGTTAAAATTTTATTTTAGTTTAATCATAAGGGTTTAAATTTTATACAAATTAATCACAATGACACATTTTAATAGCAAAATAATTTTCTCAAAAATACAGGACATATTTCTTTATTGTTGGAAAATGGAAAATGTTTTGGCTTCCGACCCAAAGATTGTAGAAGAGATTGTATAAAGAAAAAGGTGACTTGCCATCTACTAGTTGACGTCTTCGGCAGAAATAAAACCATTTAAAAATAATTCTGCTGTTGGGAAATCTACAGTACATCAAATGTGCGAGGCCATCATAAAATATCTGCTTGAATATTATATAATAATTATTTATTTTCCAGTAGAATGAAAAGGGTGAAAAAAATCTAACAGTGATCGATCTCAAAAATCTTTGAACAATACAAATATCTTAAAAGGAAATTAACACGAACCCCTGGACATTCATGATGAGATCAAGTGCCAAGGAGGTTACTTACAAATGCTTATTTTCACTAGTTTATTGAAATTCCTGTAACATTAAATTATATATGAGTAGCTTGCCTGAATTGAAAACAGAGAAAGGTAGAAGAAAGTCATCAAGAGCTAAACGGTAATGGGGCCTGAGCGATTGATGGAATGCATGTTCCTATCATAGCTCCAGAGCATTCCCAAGAAGAGAACTTGAATAGTAAGGACACTACTTAATCATCCTAGAGGGGACTTGTTTGCGACCACAGCTATATCTTTAGAGACATAAACATAGGTTTGCCAGAAAGGGTGCAAGATGCCCTCGTTTTTGCAAATTCGAAAATTTATCTCGGAGGGGATAATGGCTCCTTGTTTAAAAGTTTTGTTTCTAGCCACCAAGTCGCCCGCGTGGCACAGTGATTTGAGTGTCTGCTATAGAGTCGCGAAGTAAGGAGTTGATCCTTACGTCGCGGGTTCGAATCCCATAGTTGGACGTGGAGACCGGTCCTTCGGATGAGACCGTACATAAACCAAGGTCCCTTGTCGCAGTAGGTGCTGGAATGAAAAAGACCCCCCCCCCCACCTGCTCAATGGCCCTGAGTGCCGAGTATAGGACAATTTGCAGCTCTCCACGTGATGAGTGAAAAGAGAGGAATGTTAAATAATTCATATACAATCAATCAATCAATCTAGCCACCATGTTATGATATTTTACACGCCAATGCATACACAACTGAAACAACACTTAAAATGGAAATTTATAAAATAAACAAAACAAAATGCTTACATAAGTAAATTTGCTGCGTGTTCATATGACACAATTTACACACATGAACTAATAATTTGCTACAAAGTGTATGCAAAAGTTAATTTGCACCTAGTCCTGACCAGGTGTAAATTTACTCAACTGTGCAGAATTTGCATATTAGTATATCAGTTCATACGACAAAAATTGCACATGTGAGTAAATATACTCATGTGTAAAATATACTGAGGTATGCAAATCATGTCGTATGAATGGGGTATTTGATAAAATGTTCTATCGTTAGAATGATAAATGACCTACTGGGTTGAACAAGGGAATTCGTGCATTCACTAATCTATGTAGCATAGTAAACATTTGCGATAACTTGAACTCAGTGCATTTACTACAAATAATCCTGAGAATTCCGAAGGTAAATATGGTGTGTAATTTTGAAGCAAGAAAAAAAACCTTGAGAAAATTAGTTGAATTTTTGTCTTTCTTTTAGGTTTAAAGGTATAATCAACTTCAAAAACGTCTATTACAATTCATTTGGCAGTTATTATTATATAGAACGTTCTATCGTTCTACGAACTTGGTTTGATGATAGAATTCGTTCTGTGTATTTGTAATGTAGCTAAAAGAAACACAGGTGATAACTTGTACACAGTGCATTTACTAAGAACAATCCAGAGAGTTTGGAATGATAACATGGCAGGTAAAGAAGTAAAGCCACGAAGGTGCATAATCGGCCTATACTTTTCAGGAAAATTTAACTGAAGTAAACCAGAAAAATAATGGTATAAATATTATCTACTAGTATCGAACTTAAAAGGTTTACGTCACATTCTTTATTTGATGATGTCATATTTGTACAGTAAACGTCTAAACACGTGCACTTTGCTAATTTTTAGCAAAATTTAACGTTTTTTACATCTTTAATTCAAAATTTGACCCTGGCCACACCCTACAAACAAAATAAAAATTATGTACTTAGAAAGAGGATATAAAACTTAATATATGAGGCCTATTTTTATTTTGTTTGTCGGGTGTGGCCACATCGAAAACTTAACTTTCCCTTCCATGCGAAACAGCTGAAAACCGATCACCAATGCGGATTTTCGGGAATATCTCATTTTAATATCAAACATGATTATTTATTTGCTTTTTATTAGAAAAGGGTCAAAATGCAATTATCTGATTTAAAATATTTGATTTTGTGTTATAATGAGAAAAGAATATAGAAGACGAAAACCACATGCTAAACAAAATATTAGGTCTACAGTATGCAGTAGTGTCGACTTTTTTGTACCCCCAGTTCTGACATAGCTGATCTAAATTCAGTTCATCGATCATGATAAAATATTTAAAATATAATGTGTCCTTTGTGTGAATTTGTGTTTCCAACTCGATCCCGGTTCCAACAAAACCCTCCTCGTCGCCATGG